CCTCTTTCACATTTCCAGATTCTAATTGCAATTATGCAATTACACAAATTATTGAGGTAGTACATTAAGATAGAATTCCCTTGAATAACTTTTACTGTCTTTGGTTTTCAGGTAAAGCTTGTAAAAAGTTAGTTCAAATCAAGTTGGAAAAACTAATTAAGTTGGGTGGCTAAGGCTTTTACAGAACCAAGAATATATCCAAGATACTTACATCTACTTGAGAGTCTAAGTTAGAAATGTGAAAATGATTAATTAAAAAAAAAAACAAAACCCAAACATCTAAAAGTCAAGCTAAATACAATAAATTTGACATGTTTTGATTTGAATTAAGAAGAGGATTGGTTGAAAGTAAAATTCAGGTTGAGCCTGAAATAGTATGACAAGAAAAAAATATTTCTATTAAGAAAACAAACTATTTGTTTATAACTGGCCCAACAGCCACATTCTAAGGACCGTGAATCCAGGTTGTTGGTGATCCTTTTCTTTCCTGGCCTTAGACATTTTTAAAATGTGGATTGAGGAATCAGTGAGGAAATACAAGATTGCTGTGCACAAGAAAGGCAGAAGGAGCTCAGAGGGCAGCTCCAGGGCGCTCAGAACTAGAACCAGAACTATACAGGGCTCTGTGGGGTAAGGGCTGGGAGGCAGAGAGATGAAGGGATGGTGCCTGGAACATGCAGCGTGCTCTCAATAAATTCGTTTGTGTGTTTAATATTTACTGAGGATCTAGCATGTTCTAGGCACTGTTATGTGCTAGAAATATGGCAGGAAAGAAAAATGAAGGAAGGAAGCCCTGTTTTCAGGGAGCTGATGTTTTAGCTGTGGGACAAGATGCTGAACAAACAAATATGTGCATTGATGTTAAAGAAAATAAGGCAAAGTCAAAAGACAGGAAGAGGCAGGTAAGGTGCTGTTTTAGACAGTGTTTTCAGGGGAGCTGTCTCTGATAAATTGTGTTCGATTAGAATTTTCAAAATATAATTATAACTCATGTAAATACACAAGCAACACATTAGTGAGGAAACTAAAAAGACATTAAGATTGGTTCAAAGAGCATTTGTGTAGCTACATATTTACAAGCAATTTTATAGAGAAATAGTGAGATTACTAGATTAGATTTTAAAACAATAAATGCTCTCTAATGCAATAAGAGTAAACTTTGGGGTTATGTATTTCATTGGACAGAAAGATCTGCATCTTTGTTGGACAAAAATATACAACTTAGCCTGTGACTTCAATGTCCTAAATCTTTAAGAGTCTGAACAGGTGACATTTGTTCAGAGACCTGAGTAACATCAAGAGCAAATCAGTGAGTAGGTGAATAGTGAAGAGGGGAAGCACTGGGTGTCAAACTCCCTTCCATCTCTCTCCTACTCAATTCGAAGCAAAATATTCCCTTCTCATTGATATTTGGAGGAGTGGGTTTACCTTGGGGAAATGAAAGGATGTACGGAGTCCTTTAGGCTGAGGAATGATTATAGAGAATACCCTGGAGCTCAGCACATCTAGACATAAGATTAGGAAGCAAGGAATGAAGTGGGAAGGCCAGCAAAGACTCAGAGGTGAGGACACTGGGAAGAGGGTGGGACAGTAGGTAGCTATGTTGACTGCAGAAGATTCATGTACTGGTTGAGGGGACTCATCTCTACTTCTCCTGTAAAAGGAAGAAAAACATAGTTATCAACTCTCCAGGGATAGTGTGAAGGGCAAGAGAATCCCATTTCTTCTGTCTTTCAACTCTATATCCTTAGCATGTTCTCCTGCTGTCTCCTGGTGCTTGAGTGGCTGCTGCTGTTTCACCCACAATCATTTCCTTTATCAGGAAGGAAAAAGCTTTCCCTAATCCACTGTCTATCCTCCCCCAACCCCTCCACGACTTCTGCTGTGTTTCAGTGGCCAGAACTTGTGACCATCCTAGTGGCAAAGAAGGCTCAGAAAGTGATCTTTTTGATTTCTTAACTTCTTTATTGAAGGTGAACAAGGGAGAAAGGGAGAGGAGTGGGAATGGATGTTGGAGCTAGCATACCTAGAGTATAGGTGTTGTATTACTTTTCTAATTTGGTCTTGAGGTCTCTCTCTGGGAGTGGTTATAAACGTTAGCTTTTCTTTGATGGGGCTTGGATATTTACAGTGTGCCTTTCATGAGATACTTCTTTATCCTGGCAGATGGCCTAATTCCTAGGTGTCTGACTCATGACCAAAGGTTCCTTTCGCAGGAAGCCTGTTTATATTAGCAGGCACATTTGTGGCTCTAGTCTGCCCCATGTCTGGTTTATTCCAACCAAGACAGCCACTCTCTAAGAGAGCCCTAACCAGGAAAGAAGTTGGGTTTGGGTGTATAGGACGGGTGAGACCCAGAGGAGGTGAGCAAAACATATGAAATAGCAAGCAGTTTCATTACTTACAGATCCCTAAGAGGACAGCATGCCTCACACAGCCAGTGGGAAGGGGGAGACACACACACAACCAGTGGGTGGGAAACAAGACAGGGGTACTTGTGGGCCAAAGCCTTTACTGTGGTCCTGGATGTTACCCAACCAGGTTCCTCTTGAAGAATTCTAATTGGCTGGCTTCGAAGTTCCCTGGCCTCACACCGTGACTAAGAGGTGGTCACTGAGGCATATCTGCACAGTATACGTGGGGTATAGGAGACAATGGGAGGAAACATGTAGCTTGTACCTGATGGTTTGATAGTGCAGTGGTCACCAGAGGTGGTCATACAAGGGAGATGTCTGGAGTGACCACACAGAGGAACTGAGAGGAGGCAAAGAACTGGAAACTGTCCAGGGTGACTAAGCCCTGCTTCTAGTATGAGAAAGTTAAACCTGTCTTCCGAATGAATAGAGGCCATTGATATGTTTTTCCACCTTTTCATCAAGCATATTGACAAATCCTTCTTCATCAACTTGTCTTGATGTAACCACCCAGTGGGTTCACCTTGTCCGTTGCCTAGATAAATTATCAAGACAGGGGAATTGCAATAGCGAAAGAATTCACAAGGAGCTGGCTGTGTGAGAGACTGGAGTTTTATTATTACTCAAATCAGTCTCCCCCAGCAGTCAGAGTTTTTAAAGACAATTTGGTGGATGGGGAGGGGCAGTGAGTCAGAGAGTGCTGATTGGTTGGGGTGAAGATGAAATTATGGGGCAGCACTGTCTTCTTGTGCTGAGTCAGTTCCTGGGGGGGGGGGGGGGGGTCACAAGATCAGTTGGGCCAGTTTATCCATCTGGGTGGTATTATCTGATCCATCAAGTGCAGGGTCTGCAAAACAACTCAAGCACTGATCTTAGGAGCAATTTAGGGAGGGTCAGAATCTTGTGGCCTCTAGCTGCATGACTCCTAAACCATAATTTCTAATCTTGTGGCTAATGTTAGTAGTCTAGACGCCAGGCAAGAAGGAGGTTTGCTTTGGGAAAGGGCTTTTATTGTCTTTATTTTAAACTGTAAGTTATAAGCTAAGTTCCTCCCAAAGTTAGTTCAGCCTACACCCGGGAATGAACAAGGGCAGCTTGGAGGTTAGAGACAAGATGGAGTTGGTTAAGTTGGATCTCTTTCACTGTCTTAGTCATAATTTTGCAAAGGCGGTTTCATTGCTACCTGAATAACTTTCTGAACTTCTCCATCCATCTCCTGGAAGCCTTTCTCCTTCATCAATTTCTTCAGCCCTGCCAGACATGTGGCAGCTTCTTCATCAGCAGATGTGGTCTCTGCAGTTATTTTTATGGTTTTTCAGTCCAAACCTATTCCTGAATCTGTGTAGCCATCCCTTACTTGCAATAAATGGCTTGGGGTGTGCTTAATTTCAGGTGACCCCTTTCTGAAGTCTTCCTATAGGCTCAACACTTTCTGGCCAAATACTGTGGTCAGTTGGAACACGTTTTCTGTTCATGTCTCCCACCACAAATGTAATCCCTTTTCAGTCTTTTGCTGTTGCACCTCAAACTACGGAAGTTACAGCCACAGTGCATGACAGGTGCTTACTTAACTAGCACGAATCTTTTTCCTTCACAATTTCATGGATACATAATTTGTTATCATAGATTTTGGCAACCTCAGCATTAAGTCCAGAACTTTCACCTTGTCACTTAAAGGAAGCACTTTATGACTTCTCTTTGGCATAACCAGATTGTCAGCACCACAATTCCTGCGCTTTGCAGCCATTATTGAGTAAAATAAGGGTCACCTGAACATAAGCAGGTGTCTCGCTCATTATCCACTACAGGTGGATCTGTTAACAAGGCAGCTACTGAGTGAGTAATGAGTGAGTAATGGGCGGATACTGTGCACTGCGGGGCTAACTGGGACAGATGATTCGTGCCGAGGGTGGGGCAGAATGGATGGCCAGAGATTTAATCAGTCTACTCAGAACGCAAGCAGTTTGAAACTTAAGAATTGTTTATTTCTTGAGTTTTCAATTTACTATTTCTGAACAAAGGTTGACCATAGGTTACTGAAACTGCGGAAAGTATGGACGGGGGAGACTACTGCCTTAAAATTGCAATTGCCAAATATTAGCTTCTGCTGAAGTGTGATTCAGGACCTTCCCTCTCAACGATTAAGCGAAATCACCAGGACCTCCCAGCTTCTGCATTATCTCCGCACGACTCCGCCCCACAGCCCAGCCAATCAGAGCTGCAAGGTGAGTGACGTCACTCTCCCGAAAGTACTCGCTAATTCCGGTACTCCTTTTCTCCGCCCTTCACCTCTATTTGTTAGAAGTGACCAGCAGCCATTTTGAATTTGGGCGGAAATGAAATTAAAGTGCTGTTAAAAGCCTAAAAATTCAAGTTAAGCCGAACTTGAGCATTCGACCCAAACGTCTAGACAGGGGACAGCTTCATGGATTAAGTAGACCGCTGGGGCAGTAAGTGAAACGCGGTGTCGTCACGGCGCCCACACTCAAGATGGCATCAGCCTAAGACTCTTCTGTGCGGCCCTCTACCTCGGTTCCCGGTTCGTTGGCCTTAGTGGTGGCGTCGGAGGGAGAAAGGCGGGCGTTCTGTCCCGTTTCCGGACCCGTCTCTATGGTGTGGGAGAAACCCCGCCCCCAGAAAATTGTGGGTGTAGTGGCCACAGATTTACCGGCAGGCAGGGTGGTTGGTGTCAACAGGGGGGCCAAGAGGGGACCAGAGCCAAGACCCTCGGCCTCCTCCCCCGCTGCCCTCCCGCAGGTAACAGGGAGCCCTGCACTGCGCCCCGAGTCCTTGCAGGACTGCGCCGTGGGGGAGGGGGCCGGGCAGGGAGGAGGCAGCGGGCGCGCGCCCTGCTCGCGGCTCTGCGCTCTCGGCCCCCCGCGGGAGCGAGCCCGGCGCGGCGCCGGCTGCCGGTTGAGCTGTGCTCTCCGCTTCCGAGCAACAACCTGTCCTTGCTGATTGCGGGGCGCCTTGTAATCTGCACTTTGCGGGCGACCCCCGCCGGGTGAGGCGCACGCGGCCAGAGCTCTCCAAGGCAGCCGCGGAGTCGGTGTTCGCGGGGAGGTGTGGAAGGTGAGGGGCCAGCGAAGCGAAAGCGGCGTCCCGGCCCCTCAGCGATTCCTTGGGGTCGCGGCGAGCAGGGCGAGGGTGCGCGGCTGGGCGGGTCACTGTCCCGGGGCGTCCGTGAGCGAGCTCTGGGGGAACCTGGGGGCGCGCCCGCCCTCGGGATAGCGGCCTTATTCTTGATCCGAGACCAGTGCCCGTTTCCCCAAGGCCCAGCTGGCTCCCGTCTTGGCGTAATGCTTTCTGTTTAGAATAAAGATGAAACATTTCTTGGAAGGGCATATTCAGGAAACCAAGTGAAATTCTCGGAGTCGGGTCTCGAATTTGGGGGTGGGGGGGTCACTTACTGCTCTTTTTAAGGACTCATGCCTTTAAAATGTTGTATTTCTGAGCTGAAATCATAATTATTTTGGTCCATGAAGACTTTATTGTGTGTTGCTCCTCAGTTAGCAGTGCTGGACTGAGTTCCGCAGAGGGGATACATACCTGTAACAGACGAAAGCGGAATATCAGCCAGTACAGTGCATCCTTAATACTCACAGTGCAAGGCGTTATCATTGGAACTTTCAAGCTCTGAGAGCTAGGACTAAGATAGTCTCGATTAATTGCTGGGAAAATAAAATATTTGGTAGAAACATTTCCCTAGATCACAAGAATTTCTTAGTTGAGTGTATGAGTTGCCCTTTGACCTAGACAAGGGTTTTCTTAACCTACAAGCGGTCCAGAAACTTCATGCGCTGCCCAAGTAGGCAAGAGTGGAGGGAGATTATTAAAGGAAGACTGTGTTGCATATTCAAGTCAGAGACTGTCAATTCAGTATTTTATAATAGAGTGGAGATGCTAAATGCTGCAAAATACCTATGCTGTGATACTAGAATATCCTTTTCTACCTCGTGACTTTTTAGTTTCAAAGCTAATGAGCAAGATTTTGTGTTCTCCCCCTCCTCAAAACACCAGGAAAGCATTTTGGAAGTCCAGGTGCTTTTCTTACGTTTCAATAAATCCATTTTAGCTGAATTATCATTTTTAAAGCACTGTTTGGCGGGCATGATGGTGCGTGACTGTATTCCCAGCAACTGGGCAGGCTGAGGAGGGTGGGTAGCTTGAGCCCAGGTGTTCCAGGTTACAATGAGGTAGGTTAGAGCCACTGCACTCCAGGCCAGCAAGAACAGAAGGAGACCCTGGCCCTATTAAAAAAAAAAAAGAAAAATCACTGTTCATTTAATAGTATTTGTGCCTTTTTAGATATATTGGTGTGAAGAATTACTGCTTTAAAACATTCTCAAATTGCAATCAACAGCATACCTTTTTAATCACTGCTTTAAAAATTCTCAAATTGCAATCAACAGCACACCTTTTTAATTTTCCCCCAATTAAGTTTGCACTGGCGACATAGAATTTAATCCTACTACTCTGTCAGTATTACACTGATGGTATCAGTGGACTTCTGTCAAAGTTAACATGCTTTCACAACAAGAAAATGGCATCCTATACAGTTCTCTCAAGAAATGGAGTCATCCCTTTTTCATTTTTAAGTGATATTTTAAAAAGTCTTAGACCTAAAATACACTGCTAAGAAAAATGATCCATTTTAGCTATTTCCTAATGCTTTTATAACTTTGTTAATTACTTTATAGTGGAATTCATATAAAATCTAAGGTTAATAGCTATTGCAAAGCCCAATGTTTCCCACAAGGAAGTATTTTGGTATTTCAAAATAGCTAAGTAAATTAGATGTCCGTTGCTACTGCCTCTGCTGACTGCCATTCACGTAGCCAGAGCACTGACCCTGAATCCTAATGGCAGTCTTATCTCCTGTGAAAACTAATATTAACACTAAATAAACAGCATGATTTTCTGCCAAGAAGATATTCATTTACATACAGTCCCTCATTGGCTGCTTTTCTCTTACTGTGCGTTGGTTTTGGAAAGCTGTGTTCTGTGTTCCCTAAGAGAGGAAAGGAGGTTAGACTAGCTTCAGATCCTTTGAAAGTAACACTTCTGTAACTCATTCTTCCAGTCTGACTGGCTTTTCAGGCAGGAGTTGGAGACCAGTAAAGTTTTCTGCCTATGAAATGGCAATTAGCTGCAAAGCACATGGACCCATTCAAGAGACCTGAGGGCAAGGGGGCTGGTTGTGAGGGTATCAGTGGGATGTTAGGGTATCTGGGTGGAATTTGATTTGAGGCTGGGCTTCTGGTAGCCTTGAGATAGATAAGTAGTAAGGTGCCCCTAAGTATGACTAAGCTACTGTCTCAGTGTTTGCTTTTTAAAATTTCCTAACAACTGACTTCCTTGTGCTTGACAAGTTTCTGACTTCATGTGGCTTCGGTTTGCCATGGCTCCAGCTCTACCTTATAGCATCCTTCTACCTTCAGCTATGCTTCTAATAGGCAAAAATTGTTCTTAGTTTAAATTCCTGGGGGAGACAATGATCTGACCAGTTTATCTCTTCACTCAGGCCATGGGACTGATGGCTAATTTGTGAATTCATTGCCCTTTGGCCCAGGATAGGTACATGACAACATTAATTGTGCCCAAGAAGAGGTGGCAAGGTCAAGTGCTATGCGTGAACCTCACTACTCCGCAGGAAGTTGTCACAGTTTGGCCAGCACCTCATCTCCAGAATAGAGGGGGGTTAACATAGTTGGTTTTTCCCCATGGTCCCACATAAACTTTTTATTTGTAGTCCCAACAGAAAGGTGAATATTACCATAGTTGCCATACTTGGCGTTTTTTTAAGTACTGTTTTTTGCTTCTCTGTCACTTTTAAGAAAGATACATTGCTAGGTAGGTAGGAATTCAGTAAATTTGTTACAAAGCAGATTTAGTTCTTGCCCTCTGAAACATTTTTAGATTTTGAAAAGCTTCAATTTTAGGTAACTTTAGCCTTTATACATGTGTTTCTTATATAATAATGGTTGTGGATCTGTGGGCATTTCAAATTTTGTTCTAGGCATGTGTTTTGAGCAGCATTACATATTCAGTGTAGAAAGTGTTGTGTGGAACTTCACCGAAGTGGGGAAAAAATCCAAGTAGAGGGTCAATATGTAATGATTATTGAGTTTATATTTGTCCAAAGAACACAGATTTTAAACAGATTTTTAAAGGCCCACATATGATTATTGGCCGTATTTGTAGCAATTTGCTTTCTACATTGCCAGAGTTAGTAAGAACTCTATTTTCTGATTTTTATATTATGGTAAAGCCACCACTGAAAACTGCCACAGATTTTTCAGACATATGTTGTTTGGCCTATGTAGGCTTAAAAAACATTTGATCCAACATTGAAAAATAAGGAGATTTCCGCAAAACTATTCAGGCTCTCGGTTCCTCAAGATAAGTGGCGTGATCTGGCAGTACTGAAACTGCAGTCCTGGTTGGAACTCTGTGATAGCACTCTGTTCAGAATGCAAGCCTCTCACAGTAGGTCCTGTGCACACACAGTAGGTCCCTGTGCCAGGCTGCCAGTACTGCTGGGGTGCTGCACAATACCTGTTGTCATCCTGTGAGTTTGTATCCCTGTTGTCAAGAAAGATATGTTCATACTGTAGATTTGGAAGGTGGAGGCAAGTGTGTGTATATAAAATTACCTGTAATCTAACCCCCTCCCCCAGCAAACCTCTGTTAATACTTCAGCATGTATATTTTCAAGTCTCTGTGTGTATGTGTGCGTATTATTTCTTTTTAAAACAGCTCTGAGGTGTAATTGATACAGAATAAACTGGAAAAAAGTGTACAGTTTCATGTTTTCACATTTATAATCACCCATTGCCATCGTCATAATCAAGATAATGAATATATCCATCCTCCCCAAATCCAAAAGTTTCCTCATACATCATGATCATCCTTTCCTCTCTCCTGGTCCCTCTAACTGTGCCCCCTCGCTAGACAAGCACTGAAGTATTTTGTCTTAGTTTGCATTTGAATTCTGTGTATTTGTGGGTTTTTTTTTTAGCATTTGAGATTATTAGAGAGTCAGTTTGGCAGTTTCCCCTTTTTATTTGTCATAATTTTGAAGGGTAGTGCGATTGCACTTTTTCTGACGTTTATTGTCATTTGTGTTTCTTCAGGGAGTTGTCTGTTTTCCTTACCATTATTGTACTGGTGTTTAGTATATTACTTGGTTTGTATGAGCTCTTCATTTGTTAATGTGTTTTTCATCATATTAACAATGTTTTCAACATACTAACATTAAAATAATGATTTTCATCATTGTTATAAGTATTCTCCAATTTGTATTGTTTTCCTTTATGTTAGACATACAGAAGTTTTATTGCTTTTGAATAATAGTGAAGTTTTACAGCGTTTTCCTTTGGAAGCAAGGATATACAAGTGAGTTAGGAAGTATGAATTACCTTAATCCATTTTTGATTGCCTTTCCACTCTGAAAGTTTGTATGCAGTGGAGTTTGGGGAGGCACAGTAACTACATGTGACTATTTAGTAATGTGCATTTTCTCTAGAGTTCTTGTTAATTAACAAGCATTGCTGGTAACTTGCTGAGCATTTACCATTTTTACTGTCAGATGTCCTAGTTATGAGGATTGCAGAAACTAGTAGTCTGGAGTGGCTATGTCTGGATATCTCTTGTTCATGTTGCAGATAGAGATTCATGTTTGAAATTGTTTTCTGTTTTCTTTTAGATCTGCTTGGCTTTGAGGAAGAGTGGCAGTACTGCCTCAGTACGTAAGGGATGGGATCAGAGAACAGTGCTTTAAAGAGTTATACATTGAAAGAACCACCATTTACCTTACCCTCTGGACTTGCTGTTTATCCTGCTGTCCTGCAAGATGGCAAATTTGCTTCAGTGTTTGTGTATAAGAGAGAAAATGAAGACAAGGTTAATAAAGCTGCCAAGGTACCATAATAGGTGACGACTTAATAGTACTTTTTACTATCTTGTTTTCTATTTAAAATATATAAAATTAGTAAAGGTCGAAGGAGGTAAGATAACAAGGACCAGTATTTTATTTTTGTCCTTTCAAAACATTGCCCTTACTTCATGGGCCTATCTCCTACGCGCATGACATGGCCAAGCACCATACCTGTAAGGCAAAAAACATCATAAAACGCAGTATGATGGCTTTTATCGTCATAGTTTGTTTTTCTAGTGAGAAAGTTGGGGAGACATTTTTATATAGCTAATACAAGATGTCAGGAGTTAATCAAGCCTAGCAAAATGCAGTTCAGTATTGACAACATTCTGGAGGCGTCAGTTTCCTCTTTAGGGAAAAGCTCCTTGTAGTTTATGCCTTGTAATCGCCGCTCTGCACAGAGGGTGCCAGTACATTAGCATGTTTTCTGACACTCAGGAGACCCTGGCCTCTTATGAGAAAAATTGTTTTACTGTGGAATATAAATCAATAAAATAACCCCAAGTGTCTTTTTGAGACATTTAGCCATTCAGATACATCATCTTCTAAAAAGGAAAATGTAATTATAGTAGTAAATTAATTCTTCGGTGTTTACTCTGGTAGGCATGCTATTTTCGGGTTGAACTTGATATCTTGAATTTGTTAGAATTATGATCTCTATTACCTTGAGTCCCTTTGTAATATCAACAGGTATGGAACATTGATATCTCTTTCATAGGACTCTAAATTTTTTTTAATTTTTAAAATGATTATAAAAGATTATATTAGTGGAATTTTGGTCTTCCATTAGTCATAACAGTTATTTATTTGATGTTGTATTTTTGATTAAGCATGAAATTGTTACAAGATGGTTCCTAAGGTTGTATAACAATTCTCTCAAGGTGCATTTCCTAGTAATGCGTTGTGGTAAAAAGTATAGCTGGCTGTATGATTGCTAGGTAATTTTGCTTTTTGGTAGAACCACATTTTTGACTCTTTTTTTACATCATCTAGGTATTAAGAATTTTTTTTTTTTTTTAATAGAGTCTTGCTTTGTTGCCCAGGCTGGAATGCAGTGGCGTGATCTCAGCTCACTGCAACCTCTGCCTCCTGGTTTCAAGCAATTCTCTGCCTCAGCTTCCCGAATAGCTGGGATTACAGGCACCTGCCACCACACCTGGCTAATTTTTGTATTTTTAGTACAGATGGGATTTCACCATCTTGGCCAGGCTGGTCTTGAATTCTTGACCTTGTGATCCACCCGCCTCAGCCTCCTAAAGTGCAGGGATTACAGGTGTGAGCCACTGTGCCTGGCACAGTTAAGAATTTTTTTATTGTGATTTTGCAAAAGACAAAATACTTTACTTCGCTTTCTTTTTCTTACAGTTAATGTCTAACATGCCTCCTGTTAATTTCATCTAATAAGATTGTGCATATTGTTTTTTTATATTACCTTAAAGTGACTGTTATCACTGAGGAACTAGAGCCTTAGTATTTTTTTCTTTATAAGAGAAAAAAAAATTGTATTACCCTTTATGATGCATGTACCAAGAAAATTGAATAGCCTAGATGAAGTTTTTAAAGGAAGAACACACAAAGTCCACTCTCCATTTTTGAGGACTTCTGTGCTAAAGGAATTTTGAAGCTTGAGAGGGATTTATTCCCCCTTAGTATCCATAGATATCCTTTTAAGCCATATCTGAGTCTGCTTTTAGTTCATCTTTGTCTCTTGTTAAGCCATTCTGTGGCTTTGAAAACCTCAGATATGAATCTGGGAAATTTGAAATTGCAACAAAGTGACAAGGAGCTTAGATTCTCAGAATGTTTCTCATAATCTTAAAAACTAGGTCATAGTACTTGAGAAATGTATGGCATTCAATGTGTTAGATTTTAGGAATTTGATGTCCTAGGTATGTGAAATACTAAAACAACATATTTAGCTTGCCTCACTTTCTCTAGAGTTCAGATTGTTGGTCACACCTTTGATAGTTTTAACAATCATTTCAAGCAAATATATAGATAGTGTTTTCTGTGATAGATATTGGATAACAATATACACTTTCTCCACTGTTACAAGCAAAAAAATAACAATCCATAGTACACCAAGATGAAATGCAGGTATAAGCTCTGTCCACAAAATAATATGAGAAATACTTAGTTCTGTCTGACCATCTCATTTTATCTTGAATTCATAAGCTATAATTAATAGTGTAATTTGCTCACTGATGATGACGACTCATATATAAGCCTATAAAGAATGACGAATCCTAAGCCTGAATTTGGTTGTTAGTTTGCTGTAATCTAAGTGTCTAGTTAGGGTTTTGTGGTAAGCTTATAAAAGCTTATAAAAATGATTCTTGAGTGTCTTTATGCCAGGAATCACATTGGACTCTCTCTAGGAGTGGTATATAGATGCTATATAAGTGCTGTATTTAGTATCGTCCGAGTCATTATGCTGTTCTCCATGATGGATTCGGGCTGTTGTGGAAGGGTTGGTCAACATGTTTAAGAATGCAAGTTGTGTGGACATGGCAAGAAATTGAAGAGATAATGGCTATGCCCAGAAGAGCTTACATCCTAGTTGGGGAAAGCTGTTCTCCTCTTCCTTATATTGACTTTTTTTTTTTTTTTTTTTTTTTTTTTGTGAGATGGAGTCTTGCTCTGTCTCCCAGGCTGGAGTGCAGTGGGGCAATCTCAGCTCACTGCAACCTCTGTCTCCCAGGTTCAAGTGATTCTCCTGCCTCAGCATCCCAAATATCTGGGATTACAGGTGCACACCACCACACCCAGCTAAGTTTTGTATTTTTAGTAGAGATGGGGTTTTGCCATATTGGCCAGGCTAGTCTCAAACTCCTGACCTTAGGTGATCCGCCTGCCATGGCCTCCCAAAATGCTGGGATTATAGGCCTGAGCCACCACGCCCAGCCCTATGGTTGACTTTTTAAGAAATTATTTCTTGCCCGTCATAATCAGAATGTAGTGCTCTTATGTGGCTCCTGAGCACTATCCATTCGGAAGAACTTCAGAAGTATCCCCCATACCTCAGGTATGATGCACCCACCAGATGGAATGGCCAGCTACTTGCTCCCCACCAGTCTTTCAGACTTCACTCTCACTCTTTTTCCTTTAATGCTAATAAGCATCCAACCTGCCATTCTAAACTAATTGTCTGCCAAAATCTCTAGTCTGAGCTCCAGATCTACATTTTCACCTGCCTATTGAATATCTCCACCTAAAAGTTTTGTCAGTACCTCAAATGCAAGCTCTACAGAATGGAATTCTTGTTTGTTTGTTTTGAGATGGAGTTTCACTCTTGTTGCCCAGGCTGGAGTACAGTGACGCCATCTTGGCTCACTGCAACGTCCGCCTCCTGGGTTCCAGTGATTCTCCTGCCTCAGCCTCATGAGTAGCTGGGATTACAGGCACGTGCCACCATACCCGGCTAATTTTTTGTATTTTTAGTAAAGACAGGATTTCACCTTGCTGGCCAGGCTGGTCTCAAACGCCTGACCTCAGGTGATCCTCCACCTTGGCCTCCCAAAGTGCCGGGATTACAGGCGTGAGCCACCGCGCCAGGCTACAATTCTTTATTCCTTTCCCTTTCTTCATTTTATTCTTGGTTTATGATCTAACCTTCAAATAGTGGGCATTTACCAAAAAATAGTATCTGCATTTTGACTTAAGATTTACATCTTTAGAGAAGAAGGAATAACATTTTTCCCTGAAGGTCCTTGTTCTCTAGTTTAGGCATCTTGGCTATTTTATTAAGTTTACTTAACATAGTTAACGGTGTGAAATTATGGCTTTGTCCCATTTATAAGCCTGCAGGTGGATTCGGGCTGTAATGCTGGTTCAGTTAACTTTGCATAGTTCTCCAAGTGAGATAGTGAATCAGAGGCAGAACAACAATAAAAAGTTAAGCCTCTGAGGCTCGAATGAATTAGTCATAACTGATTCCTGATAAATGGGAATCATTTATATTTAGGGTTAGAATCTCATACTTAAAATTCCTGTTTGGGTGTAGAAAAATACCAACATTGATAAATTATATAATGCAATTAATATTTAACAATAAAGGTCATTACTCAGAATCCTCTTTCAGAGACTATCACCTAGGACAGTGAATGGGATGTAAATAGGCATTCAATAACTTTGGGGAAAGTGCTTTCAAGACACTCTCATTCAAAAATAGTCATCTTTCTCTACTACGGCAAGAGCCATTTATTTGTTCCACTGATGTTCATTGAAAAATATCCTAGCTACCCTCAGCAAGTATGTCTTGTTGCTGCTGTTCTTTAGAGCAGTAGAGGCTTGAATAAAAAAATGTTCTATTTAATTCTTAATTGCTGGCCTTTGCTGTGAACCTGTATGCATAATTTGTGTTTAATATTGAATGTACCAAAGGGGAGTGACAAATAAGGTTCTTGCTAAGTGCCTTGTTCAGAAACATGCAATGAGTCATTTCTTCCTCTCCTTCTTTATTGAACAAGAAATCACTTTGGATCAGGAAATTTTCTAGGTGTTGCAGAATAAAACAAAAAGCAGAAGAGAACATGAAAGATTTGGGTTGAAAATTATTGGAAATTTATTTGAAAATTACTTGAAGTGATTCTTTTTTTATTTTTTATTATTTATTTTTTCCATTTATTTATTGTGTTTGAAGTGATTCTTAAAACATGAGGGAGGCTACATAATTTTATGCAGAAACCATAGCTCAAAACACACTTGTAGGCCAGGCATGGTGGCTCACACCTGTAAGCCCAGCACTTTGGGAGGCCGAGGTAGGTGCATCACCTGAGGTCAGGAGTTTTAGATTAGCCTGGCTATGATGGTGAAACCCCATGTCTACTCAAAACACAAAAATTAGCCAGGCCTGGTGATGGGTGCCTGTAATCCCAGCTCTTCCAGAGGCTGAGGCAAGATAATTGCTTGAATTCAGGAGGTGGAGGTTGCAGTAAGCTGAGATCACACCGTTGTACTCCAGCCTGAGTAACAAGAGTGACAC